ATGGCTAAGATGCGTCAACTGCTCCAGGGCGCACGAGTCACGTTATTCCAAGTCTCACAGATTTGTCGGTCGCCACACCCATATACCGAACCAATCAGCTGGTCTCATACCCAGTGATCTGTTTGGTTTTACTAAATTTTCGCTTTAAAAGCGCACCATAATAGTTGGTTCTATACTTCATCTCCCCATTAGGGGAATTTTTACTCATTAAAGCTCATCTTGTGTAGTTTCATTGTAAAATTTGTTATGCTTTCGGTCGTTCTGACCACATCTGGTTCTGTCACAGAATGTAGAAGCGAGGTTAGGCCGAAAAATAATGAAGCTTCCTTGACTGGCCGTGCACTGTATACGATTTTGCTCAATTAGCTTCAGACTCGGTTTAGGTCCCGCAGTACTGCCTGTATAAAATGTCCTCAAATACTGTGCAACCTATGCTCTGAAACTAAGGTAAACTTAAAATCTACTGTGGTCGAAAACCTTAGTGTATACACCTTAAAACTCATATGTTTACACTTTCAACCAGTAACATCTAGCGGAAGACATTTAAGATAATGTGCGTTTCATCAACTAATTAGTTTTCTGTTTCCAAAACGTTGTTTTTTTTCTCCGCTTTCCATCCACAGTATGATATCAGACATCGGGAAGCCGGAAATTTCATTCGCTTACACATGGATATTGCACAGCTGAACCTCGGCAAGTGCTTTTGAATGGTTGTGCTTGTTCTCCGTAGTCGGTACGAATGACTTGTACCTGTCTCCATCTTCTTCCATATTGACTCGCTCTCCAGTTTCGGATCAATTTATCCAGCTGTCTCATTTTGCACAGCCGTTATTCTTACACTTTCATGCGCTTATTTCTTTACTGCGTTTGGTTTTCTCATTCGGTCGATCAAAACGGTAATGATTGGGGAGAATGAGATTAAACAATCGAGAATAATGGTAAAATACTGAGTGTAGATAACGTGGTGAACAAATGCACGCCCACCAATTTCCTGTAGAACCGATTGCTTCAGTGTCGTCCTGTGATTGGTCCTTATAAGACTTGTATGGCCAATTGAACAATCTGACTAATGCAAGTGGCTTTATAAACTCCCAGAATTTCTGTGGGTTGAGATTGGCGCGCTGTGCACCTAAACATATGCTTGTCCAGTTTCTAGAGAACAAACTTTTGACAACCACTGTTTATGACACCCAGTCACAGCACTCAGTCTCAAACCGTCGATTAGGCTAGCCATGATCATTCCGAATGGGAAACCCAACTAGAAGTTCCTGACAAATCACAGTTTCATACTTTGAATCCAGGGTATGTTCTGAACACTTGGTTTTCTTCCGACTACTAAATGCCGAGGACCGGCGACGCATGCAACATATCAACTACAATCAATTGCGGCTCAGCGCTTGCATCAGTGCATGATCGCGATCATCAAAAGTCCGGTACTTAACCTCGGCACTGACTGACTAGTTATCCGACCACACTCTTGTAATGTGTCGTAGACAACAGTGTTGGGGCACCAATGATTTGCGTTTTCTCTTCCACCCGTAGGGGCCATCCATATTCATGCACCATGCAAGAGCGCCGACCGTAAAACTGTGGCATACTCCGGCGATTTACGCGTCGGATGTATTGCATGTATTTCACGCACGTCAATCTGGACTGCGTGCCAAACAATGCACGGCAGAATAATCTTTATAAAAAGAAAAAGTCCGTGATTTGCTCCAGGGTGCGATACTGTTAGGTTGCTCAGGCCAAAGCAGGTGAATTCTCTTGGAGTTCACAACCGGAGCCTTCGGCTAGTCAAAGCCTGACCCGCAAGGCAGCGGGGCGGTGTGTGAAAACTGCAATCCATTTCGAGCCGGTGTCCAGTTCATCGGAGAATGCGCCCTTTGAACGGGGTCAAACGTCCAAGGTGCACAATAAACCTCGATACCCAATCGAGTCGATGACCACCACGACCTGGAAGGTGTGGGTGTGATTCTTACACCTCTTCTTGGTTGGTTTAGAATCAGGGATTTTAGCCAACTAGCCTATGTGAATTGCCAGTGGTTCATCGACCTGGTTATAGCCTCGGATATTGGCTTTTGGTCCTCTCACTTTGGTGGGAATTCACCTCTACAACAAGAAGGCATTGAGTAGGGCTTCCTCACCGGAGGCCATTTGCGACACTGGGTCGTATGGGAACATTTCGCAAGGTGCAAGGGAAGAGTGACCAGCCGCAACCCGAGACAGCTACCCCCGACCACACTGATGCTTTCGGAGCAGGTGTT